AAAATAATTTCTGTTGTTTAAACCACCCAGTCTGTGGACCTTTGTGACAGCAGCCTTAGCACACCAAGATAGGGCAGAGCAAAGGTTTCCCTGAGAAAGAAGATCCCCCTGCCACAAGTAGCCTGCTTCTGCTGATGCCTGCCTTCCCACCAGACTTGCTCAGCCAGTCCCACCAACACATAACCCAATTCCTTGCAACAAATCTCTTCACAGGTACATCTCCTACTGGTTCTACTGTTCTGAATGAATCCTGACTAATACAGAGAGTGAGAAAAGTGAGGATAGAAGAGCTGAGAAGGCTCTGGAAAATATGACCAATTAAGAAACACAAAAAGAGTAGGCTGTGCTGTGGACAAGAGAAACCCAAGGATGTGTCAGGAAGTGAAGGACAGGGTGCTATCAGAGAAAGCAAGGGGCATAAGACTGGTTGAGTATATCAAATCTCCACAGAAATCAAGGCACAGTCAGCCAAAATGAGAAGCTGAAACATGATGCTCTAGCTTTGGTAAAGGAGCATCAGGGAGGGAACCCATGCGCACAGGGCTGAGGAACATGTGAAAGACAGGAAAATGAAGAAGGATTATCCCTCTAAGAAGTTTACCTACAATACACAGGAGGATGAAAAGACATTAGGTAAGGGAACTCAGAAAAATGGAAGGGTCGTGGATATTGACTACCTGTAAGATGACAAATGCTTGAGTATGTCCAGGAGCTTAAAGGACAAAAGCAGTGGAGAGATTATAAATAGCAGAGAAATGGGTTAGCTAACACAGCAGAGACCTCAGGAGAGCCCAAGGTGATGAGATTCAACCCTCAGGAGCAGGGATCTGCTATGGATACAAAGAAGGAAACATCTCCACAGAGATGGGATGATATGAGGGAGGGTGGCTGCCAATGCATGTATATAGGCAGAACACTCCCAGCAGCTAGACTCTAGTGTCACAGTGAACTACTGGGTTAAGATGATCCCCTGACCATGATGAAATATGGTCAGGGAGGGCTTAGGAATTAGTACTGATTAAATTAGTTTGGAGTTTTTTGCTTTTTTGTTTTCTTTTGTTTTGTTTTTTTTGTTGTTGTTCGTTTGTTTTGTTTTGTTTTTTGCTTTTTAGTGACAAATAGGAAAAGGTATTGTTTCTTTCTGGAAATAAGAGAGAGACACAGAAACACTAGGCAGACTTGGGTTCAACTACTCTTGAAGGCGGCGACTTTGCCTTCAAGTGTATCTTTACAAAGATAAAATTGATTTTATTCAGCGGCATTCAATTCGCTGGGAATAGGAACAGAAAGATAAACTACTAGCTTGATCCAGGGTCGTGGTTCAGTGGAAAACAACAGCAGAAGGACAAGAAGGCAAGGCAGCTGAATGTATTGTCAAGAGAAGCTGCAGTGATGGTTTATGGTGTCCAGGCAAGTTAAGAGAAAAGGAGAGCCTGGGAGAAAATGAATTCTTACTGCCCAGTAAGAAAATATCCACAGGTCTGCCAGAGTGGTATAATGGGCAGTGAATTGAACAGTGAGCCAAAGCACAGGCTCTGGGGTCAGTCTGGCTCCACGATCAGCAAGGTGTGACCTTTGTCAGTTTATTTAATCTTTCTTTGCCTTCATTTCACCATCTGTTAAATGGGATAGTAATACACCTATGGTTGTATAGAATAAATAAAATTATTCCCATTAAGTAGGGAGCTTTACCCATCTGGCATATATTTAGTGTCTCTCAAGTTTTAGTCATGTCTGCTAGGGGTGGAGACAGCTATTGCACGGAAGTTGCAGGAGAATGGAAGTTTTAGATGTCACAGGTGAGACTGCCTGGCAGGATCCAGGATGTGGGTGTGGGTGTGGGTGGCCATCACAACATTCGCTGCAGGTGACCTACACAGGTAGAGGGGGAGAGAACACAGGCTTAGGATCCTAAGTGTCACACCCATTGGCACACCCGAGGTCTCCGCAGGAGCCAAATATAGAGATCCAGGGCTGAGGTAAGAACCTTCCAACCTGGGGCGCCTGAGTGGCTCAGTGGGTTAAGCCTCTGCCTTCGGCTCAGGTCATGATCCCAGGGTCCTGGGATCAAGCCCCACATCTGGCTCCCTGCTCAGCGGGGAGTATGCTTCCTCCTCTCTCTCTGCCTGCCTCTCTGCATACTTGTGATAGCTGTCTGTCAAATAAATAAATAAAGTCTTTAAAAAAAAAAACGAACCTCCCATCCCAGGACCACAAATGCCAAAGTCTAGTGAGAAGGGAGCATGTAGGTGCTTAATTTTAAGGTTTTCACAATGAAAAGTTACTATGCCCTAATATTAGGCAGTTATGGCAATTGGTACCTATGAAATGATGAAAACCCTTGAAATTATAAATATATTCAGAGGGTACTGAGTGGCATTTCAGGCACCCAATATGGGAAAGCATTGTATAAGACAGTTCTAAAAACAGTCAAAGCTTTTTCCACAACCCTAAGTTACTCCCCAGGTCTGAGCTGGCCATCTTGGACCTGCACCTGCCCTGACATCCAAGCATCTTTAGAATGATGTCCTAGACGGCTGAACCATGACTCTTTTCAATGTGTAGTATTTTAAAATAGTGTTCCTCTCAAAAGTGATCCTCCATCTTTTCAAGCAGTGTTGCTCAGCCCTCAAGATCAATTACAAATCCGCATATGAATCCTCACTCCTGTTCTGCTCTCAGTTCTGATGTGTACACCATACCCACCTCTCTCAAGTCTTCAGTTCCTTCTTCTGAGCAAAATAAACCCAAGTTCACCAACTTCTCTTCTGAGGTTTTATTTTTCAAATCTTTGACCATGTCTCAGTCTTAACCAACTCCAAATACTCCTTAATCCTCTTAGCTATAGCTGTAAGCAAACTAATGTTTCAGTACATTGGCATTCCAGGATGATAGCAGAACTCCTCACTTTTCATATTTCATCTCCAAGTAGGTAAGAGTGGGGTGGGAGGATGGATGATTGTTACATGAACTCGCTAACTTCTTTGTATTTTTAGTTGAATTTATCTCCTTTTAACAAATTTTAGTCCTGGGTATCTTTTGGATACACACACACACATATAATTATAGACTGCATATGTTATATAAATATGTGAATAATTAGTAAGTGTACCATATTATGATTTATAATGGTGATTATTCATTATATGTAATTATATGTAATTGTTATATATATTTATATTTCATTTCTATTTCTACATATTCATATTTGTCATTAAAAGTCCTAGTTAATCTATAATTCTGTTTTCATTCTGACATGTCTACTGTTCCCCATGGAGTTGTCTTTACACACATTTTAGGATTCTTCATTCCTTTTGATCATATTCTGCACAGTTATATAAACAGTTGTTAAGCAACTAAGAAGCTCTTCTCAAACTCAAAACCTCAGGTGCTCATTCAAGTAACAGTAAGATGTATTTATTTTGCTCATGCACTTAAATATAAGTAGGAACACACTTTTTTTTTCTTAGCATCTTCTTGTTTAACAATGTTTCATTACAAAACAACAGCCTCTGAACAGAGATTTTTTAAAAATTTGTAATTGTAATTGAAAGCACAGTTGTCTTTTCTTTTCTTTTCTTTTGGTTGCTATAATCTTCTCTCTAAAGGTGAGCAGCCCTGAAATTACTAATGATTTGGAAAAACAACATGTTTTAAAATATTTTCTCCCTCTGTAGCCTTTACGCATCATAGAGCAAATGCCCAAAAAATGCAATACACAATTACGGAAACCAAGGCTAATAAGCCACAAGCACTAACTGTAGGTAAAATGAGATTTATAATATGTATTCGGAGGCCTAAATGATGGGTTTTAGTTCCAGAGTGCAGATGAAGATAAAAGACCTTACATTCTCAAACCTAGGTAGACAGTTTAATGGGCATTTTTTATTATGATGATTTCCCAAGACTCATGCTACTATAGATAGTGTTCTTAAGGGTCATATAAAATATAGAGCTAAAGTTAGAATTTAAAAACAAAAACATAGTTTTTATTCATCCCTTCAATGCCTCTGAAAAGAGTGACTTGTGTCCCTTATTTCACAGGGACCTCTCAAAGGAATGTAAGCGCCTTATTCATTCTCAACTCTCCCAGAAAGGAAAATACATATATATCAAAGGGCATCCAGAGCAAAGTTGGGATTTTTTTTTCCTTGTCTTGTTTTCTTTGTTGAAAGAGGCCAAAATAAGAATTGCTTCACTTACCAGAAAATTAGCAGATATAGGTGGATATTTGGGTATTTATAATTAGAAGTTGACTTCAATGTAATGCCACCAAAGAACAATAAAATAGAACCATCAGCTTCTCTAGATGGAAAATAAAAAGTAAAGCAATATTTGAAAACCTCCACTACCCACTTTAGAGGATAAATATTGGATGGCTTATTTACCAAAAAATCACTGATATTCTAAATAAATGAGGAAACATTTCAGTACTAAAAGGGCTCATGCATGGTTACCAACAACTCTAAATAGTATATTGGCTTTTGCTTATAAACCATAATACCAATCTGATGAGTCACGTAAAATTCTGAATTATCTCCAATGCATTTGATGGGCCTGAATTTTACCTTAAGAAATATTTGCAAAGGACAGAACAAAGTGCTCCGAACTGGCGTGGGCAACCAGGCAAAAAAGCCAGTTAAAGGAACTAGCTTCCTTTCCAGAAGACACTGACCTTTCTCCACACCCTAGTACTTTGCCTGACCACAGTTTTCAGTAGGGGCCAGGGTTGGGGGTGGGTGAAGAGGAGGGTCATTCAAATGCTCAAATAGCCCCTGGCTGTGTGATTCGCCCCATGTGAATTTCGCAGTTCCCCACCCAAAACTCTTCCAGGAAATCCTTTACTTCAAGGAGGCCACCCTCTGAGAATCTCCGGGGTCCCCGCAAGAACTGCAAGGAGTCTCCGCCACCAGGCTGGAGCCCCAACCTCCAGTCCTGGCGGCAGAACCCGACCTTCCCTCCAGACCCCACGCACTGCGGCGCCCGGACCCCACACTCACCGGATGATCACGAACATGACCAGAGAGTTGCCCACCAAGCCCACGACGAACACCACCGAGTAGACCGCCGTGATGATGACCGGGATGGCGGGAGAGATGTGCGCGGACTCCAGCTGCGCGCCCTCGGAGCCCCCGCTGCTGTTGCGGTCCGCCTCGGCCCAGTCAGGCAGCCAGCTGCCGTTTGGGAGCAGGCAGGTGCTCGGGGAGCAGGTGGGGCTCGGCTCCCCGCGGAAGATCTGGACCGGGGACTCCATAGTCAGGCGGCTGCAGCTGGAGGGCAAGCAGAGGAAGAACTGCGGGGTCACGAGAGCTAGCTGGACCCAGAGAGGCAAACTTTGCCCGTACGCGGGCCAGCGCGTGGAGGCCAGTAGCCCGCGGAGCCCGGGACCCCCTGATGCCCAATCCGGCGCCACGTCCCCCAGGGCGGGAGAAGGAGGGTGGACCTCTCGCTGCCGCTGGGTACTGGTGAGGCGGACGGCCAGCGCTCGCTCCTCTTCCCCAGCTCCAGAAATCCCCTCCAGCCCTTTCCTAGGCACGGTCCCCTGGTGGAATTGTCCCCAGACTGATGCTCTGAGCTTCCAGGAGCAAAAAGCACTCGAGCTCAGAACCCTGGCTCCCCAGGACTGCTCCTAGAAAGTCAAAAGCCCGAAGCTTACCTCCGGCTCCCGGAGCCCGGAGCAGTGGTTCAGGGGACGTCCTGGCTCCTGCGGAACCTTGCGCTCCCGGGGCGGCTCAGCCCTCCGAGTCGCCGCGCAGCCCAAGCCCAGTGCTCCGAGGGAGGTACCTTTTCTACCCAGCTCCGTCGCCGCGGCTCACTCGGCTCCCCACAACCTGCGGCGGCTCAGCCAGGCCTTTGCTGCTAGGACTCGGCGGGAGCACTGGCCGGGCGGGGAGAGAGCTCAGGGGAGCCCCGCCCCGGGCCGCGCCCCGCCCTGCCCCGCCCCGTGCCGCCCACCCAAACCCAGCTTGGCCCGCGGAGGTAACTGACCAGCCTCCGGCAGCCCCCAGCTGAGGCTCAGTGAGCACCAACTACCCAGAGCCACAGCACCCTGTCTTGGACAGCCCAAAGACTGAGCTGCTGTTCCCTTTAGTTTTAGTAAGGAGGAAGGATGTGCCTCAATGGCAGCATACATCTAGATTATCTATAATAAAGTCTAGAACTACTGCGGGCCTCATTCTCCAGGCAGGTCTTCTTTCAAGAGAGGAGAAAAAACGTACTTTTGTTCATTTGAATGACCCATCCAAATAAAGTAGCAAAATAGTCTAATTAGAATAAGACCAGGTCATAAGATATTAATGATTTAGTATACATAAATAGAATATTCCTCTACATTCCATTCCTTCTAGTCTTCTCTGAGATGACACACATACTGCACCTTAGAGATATTAACTGTATCTCGTGCTATTACCTGCGAATAAGTAAAATACTCTTCCTACTCAGGCCTTGGTGTTGGCTGGGGAGTTGACAATGTCTCTTTCTTTCTTTATTCCCTGCAGTCATCAATTTTCTGTCCCTAGGGTGCCTTCTCTATGAAGCCCCCAAGAATCTGAACTCCCATAGAGAAATTCAGCCATTGTCATTTCTGTGGTTAACTCCACCAGTCAAGGATTGCTCAGATTCTGCTGGGTGAAAGACGCCCTCCAACAAAGAGACCCAGGGAACAATGACGAAAATGAAGGAAGGCCAAGGTAAGTTGTACAGGGGAGCAAGGACTCAGCCACTGAAGTGAGGGTCCTGAAGGACAGTGAGGAGCTTCCCCTTTCCAAATTGGGTATGGGAGTCAGGATGCTGACACAGTCATTCCATTCATCAGTCGACTGCAGAAGAGAGCTCCTACCTTATTCAAGATACTGTGACCCCCAAAGAGGCATTTGACACCGGAGTCTTAACAACAACCTCAAAATGCACAGCTCTTCTTAGGAATTTGATTCAAAGAACAACAGCAAAGCTCTCCTTTGCCCAAAAGAATCCCTCCAACCCTGGGATCATAGGTGTTTTGAAAATTATCAAATCTTACTTTTTTTTTTTTTTTAGGTTTTGATTGCAGGTTTTCATTAGAAGATGACAAAACATCAGAATGGTGGGATCTCCATATGTCTGAGGGTACTTCTGTATTAGGAAGATGGCAGATGAATCATCTCCAGATGTCTGGGGCCTCATTTCCTGCCAGAGGGATCCCAGACTACCACCAAACTAACCCAGGAAGACATTGTGTTTGAAAACTAAGCAGTATCCAAGTAAGAAAGTAAAAATAATATGTTTAAGTAAAATAACTAGGAAAGACGGAATTATCCATCTTTCTGTCTACTACCTATTTATTTATGATTTCATGCATTGAAAATACCTACAACTGTCTCTGTGCAACACACTTTTGTTTTGTTTTGTTTTCATTTTGTTTTATTGCTTTTCAGTATTCCAGAATTCATTGTTTATGCACCATACCCAGTGCTCCATGCAATACGTGCCCTCTATAATACCTATCACCAGGCTCACCCAATCCCCCAACCCCATCCCTTTTGAAAGAGTATTTACAATATCTATCCTGCTTTTGCATTCACCACATTGGCTAATTTTTGTTGTTGTACTTAGCACCCAGGTGGCTCATACAGCTGGTAACATTACTGAGCTGGGCTCAAACACAGGTGTTTCTGGCTCTTGCCATATGCTGATTGCACAGAATAGTTTCATGTAAGGGAGCAAATGCAGAGTGACTCTTCCCCAAAAGACAAAATATATAGAGAGAAAGGGTTATTTGGCAAAGATAAAAAAGAGGAACAGGAAAGGTATTACTTGAAAAGATATAAGTAAACTTTCTTTTTCTAAGATTTATTTATTTGAGAGAGAGCGCATGAGTGGGTGTGGGGGGCAGAGGGACAGAGGGCAGAGGGAGAGAGAGAAGCAGACTCCCCACTGAGCAGGGAGCCCAATGTGGGGCTGGATCCCAGGCCCCTGAAATCATGAACTGAGCCAAAGGCAGAGGCTTAACCGACTGAGCCACTAAGGCACCCTAACAGTTTTCAAGAGGTTAAAAAAAAACTTTAAAGAAGTTTCCAAGTTTGTACAATTCCAATAACTTGAACTTTTTGCTCTCTCATAGTGTGTGTGTGTGTGTGTGTGTGTGTGTGTGTAGAGGTTTGCTAGGTACTCTATAATGAAAGCAGAATGCAGAACTCAGCCTGGGACTTCTAAACTATAAGATGATGTTCTCATTCTGATCACCAATAAGAAAACTCTACTAGTTGGGACAGCCTTTTGAAGGCAAAATACTACTAATTATGATAAAGGAAGTTTTGTTTCATTTGAATACTCTTATTTTTTTTCTTTTTTACCAAACTAATGGCCAAAATAAAGTGAAGCCAAAATGGGCAGAGCATTAAGAAACCTTCAGGCAGTTGCAGTTGCCAGGGGAACCTGGCTTGTGTCTCTGAACACAGTGAGGAAGTCTGCTTATGTGCAGTCAGGTTGTCAGGAGTATGAGATTTTATCACAATACTGGAGAAGAGCCTATAAAATGGAGAGGAAAAACAAACTGCTAAAATGCTGTATAGTATTATGCAGTGATACAAAGCACATGTTGTTAAACTCACCCGCACTTGATTGCTACCTGCCATTCTGCTCAGGGCTACCACTATGCTTATAACTACAAGTAAAGTACTTTTAAAGCTGCAAAATGTGTTCTCAGTGACTCTTATTCATGCTACAAAGTAGTTTGGGGAGTGTGTGGTTTGGTATTTCTATTGTATAGACTATGGATACCACCAGTAAACTGTGATCAACTGGCTTTTTTGTGGCTCTAAAAGCAGATATAAACCTGCAATAAGTATATAGCTGAAGGTAGCAATTACATTTGCTTAAGACCCAGGTGTGACCAGTGCAGCCTCAGAGGAGCCAGAATGCAGCAGTGTCCTTCATGTCACTGATCAGATATTGCTGAATACAGGTGAGAAGGCAGGACTCAAGGGATTAACAAGACAAGGGCAAATTATCCAATCTAGTGTGAGAGACAGAAGTCTTTAAAATTTTATGAATAATTAATAACAAGTACAGTTAACTGGTGAGTCTTTTATAGGAAACATATTTAATAAAACAAGGTAGTCAACGATGAATGCAACTAGTTTGTGTGAAGTAAATAAAAGGCTCCCCTTCTTCAAGACTCTATCTTCAAATTGCCATAATAAAGATGTAAGTCCCCTTCGTGTCTTTGTCATGAAGACATCCTGTGAGTTATTGCAGGTATAGAGCCTGCACATGTTTAGGGAGGCCCCAAAGACCAGATGTCCTCACGACAAAAGCATCAGGGAAGTCCCTGTGAACCAAGTAGTGTTGAAGCTGCCACTTCAAGACTGCAGGTAGTTCTCCAGGTGAAGAGGAAGAAAGGAACATTCTAGGCAGGATCATTCTAGCAAATGTGAAGAACATGCATGGGCAGAAGTGAAACACATTTATGGAACTGAGGGGAGTCCAAGGTATCTGAGCCTGGTGACCGAGGGAAGTGTGGCACAAGATAAAGTGAGAGTAGAGGTCAAGATTACACTGATCCCTGGGGCAACTGGGCGGCTCAGTCAGTTGAGCACCTGACTCTTGAGCAGCACTCAGGTTGTGATCTTGAGGTCAGGATATTGAGTCCTGTGGGTTTTGTGCTCAGCCTGGAGTCTGCTTGGAATTCTCTTTCCCTCTCCTTCTGCCCCTCCTGCTTGTGCTCACTCTCTCTCTCTCTCTCTCTCTTTCTCTCCCTCTCAATCTCTCTAAGTAAATAAATCTTTAAAAAAATAAAGAAAAAAAAACAAATATATGGTTGAAGGTTTGGATTTCAGTGTAAGACACAGGAAGGGACATGAAGAGTCTCAGGCAGGAGGATAGTATGCTCAGATTTGGGATTTTTGAAATATCACTTATCTTTAATTTGTATACTGTATTGGAAGAAAAAAGAGCAGAGGTGATGAGTCCCTTATTGAATCAACATCATGTACTGTTACCACTAAAAGGCATCTTAGTGTGACCCATAGCAGCGTATTATATAAATAAGGGATAAAATGAGGACTTTCCCATGGTCACGGAGCTGAGTCTTAAACCTGAAACTGCCAACCCTGAACCACTTGATCAAACTGGATCCACAGATTTGAAAATTCAGTGCCAGTCCCATGTCAGGTGCTAGGTTGGGGAGTGAGAGAAATTATGGCAACACAAGGCAATAAATGACAGTGTTCCCAGTGTTAGCAGCACTGATGGTATTGAGGTGAGAGCCAGGTGGAGGACAGAGGAATACGTAAGTGGAGAGTCCCAAGGACAATGGTGCACAGACTGAGGAGTAGCTTGCAAGGAGGCAGTGGTGGTTTGAGGAGGGCATATTTGAAGAAAAACATATTAGAACTACTATAATAGTCTGGGTGAGAGATGATTCAACCCTAAAACAAGGTAATTGCTGCACACGTAGGGTACATGGTAGTTTTGAGGACCATTTAGGAAATTAGATTCGCAAAACCTGTAGTTTAAATGAATATAGAAGTTAGGGAGGATGAAGAGCCTGGAATTACTTTGGGCTTATGGTTGGGTGACCAAGTGGAGGACAGCACTATTAACTGAAATAAGAAATGTAGGAGAAGTCACAGCAAGCTGGGAGGAGAATGCAATGAGTCCAGGTTTTGCAAAGATGTGTTTGAGGCACCCATGAGGCAGTTGTTTG